TTCTTCTGAAGAGGGCATGTGTCCCAATTTGGATCTGCTTATGAATGATGATACGAAGTTGTTAATGTTCAATGGAGATAAACTCCGAACTCATACTAACTTGTACGAATCTCTGCATCATCTCCTGAGATGAACATAGCCTCATTTCAGGTGGGCATGACACACAATCAAGGCTAAGTCTCACAGAACAGTCATTGTAGAATATTAGCTTTATCAAAGCACATCGCCCAGTCAACACCATCCCAACTGTCTAACTGTCAAGCATTGTAGTGGCAACATCATGTTATGGGGATGCTTCTCATTAGCAGGGACTGGGAACCTTGTCAGGATTGAGGGGAAGATGGGTCGTGTAAAGTACAGACGAGTTCTAGAGAAAAACCTGCTTGAGTTCGCCAAGAATCTAGAACTGGGTCGAAAATTCACATTTAAGCAGGACAATGGCCCGAATCACTGGAGTGGTTTCAAAAGAAGAAAAGTAATGTCCTGGAGCGGCCCAGTCAAAGTCCTGATTTGAAGCCAATGAAAAATTTATGGCGGGACTTGAACATTGCAGCCCATCAACGATCTCCACGAATTTCTCAGAATTGGAGCAATTTTGCTAGGAAAAATGGGCAAAAATTACACCATCCTACTGTGCAAAGCTGGTAGAGTGGTGGTATTTTTTCTTATAGCAAAGCCACATTTGGCTCTGGTGTGTCCACCGAGGGGAATCGAACCCCTTACGTTTAACGTTGTAAATCCGTAGACTTACCACTGCCCCAGCGGGGAACAGCTGGTAGAGACCTATCCAAAAAAACTCACAGCAGTAATTGCTGCCAAAGGTGCTTCCACCAAGTACTAACTTAGGGGGTTGAATACTTATGCAATCGCCAAGTTTGAATATTATAGTTTTGAATAAAAACAAGTTAATTAAAAAAATAGTTACATTATTTGTATTTCATCAAAATGTGACATTATTGGTAGGGTGTGAATACTTTTTGCAAGGCACTCTATATCATAATCACAATAGGTAAGGATATACGACGTTATAAATATATTTCAAATATATTTATCGTTTTCAAAACTAATAACAGAGAGAGAAAAAAAAGCAGTTGATGTGAATTATCAAAATCATAAAATACGGCTTTACCATTAAGTGATTTTTGTCCATTAATCTAGTATTATCCAGAAAATTCGATATACTATTTGAATGAGTCAACCAACCATAGAACATTAATTCAATATTGCCCAGCTCAAATATGTATTGGACATGCAGGAGGAAATGGACAGCTGTTAAATGTAAGAACTGTGAAACATAAAGGCGCGAAAATGAGAAAAATAATAAAATCTGCTACAGTTGAAGGTATATCATTAATAGATCAGTCTATTAATTGGAAAACTTATAAAGTATGAGGTTTTGTAAGTCGAGTCTTTTGAAAATTGCGGCATACTGTCTTATTATAATTTCATTTTAATAGTTTCGTCCCAGCTGTTTACATTTGATCTCATTTCTGTAACATCCTTCAAAAAGTTAATATGCAAATTTATTTCGTACCATACACATGGAAAGAGTTGTGTCTATGTAACTGGGAGAAGGGAGCCAAAATTTATTTTCAAACGTGGGGTGGGGGCGAAAGTACATGCATACACGTGCTGGTGCTTTAGGAAAATATGTAAAGGTGATGAGGCTGCGGGGAAATACGAACAAAGTTGCAAGTAAGCAATCCCAAGGTAGTATTGGATATTAGTGCAAGTAAGCAATCCCAGGATAGTGCTGGATATTAGTGCAAGTAAGCAATCCCAGGATAGTGCTGGATATTAGTGCAAGTAAACAATCCCAGGATAGTGCTGGATATTAGTGCAAGTAAACAGTCCCAAGATAGTGCTGGATATTAGTACAAGTAAGCAATTTCAGGGTTGTGCTGGATATTAGTGCATGCAAGTAATCCCAGGGTAGTATTGAATATTATTGCATGTAAGCAATCACGGGGTTGTGCTAGATATTATTGCGAGTAAGCAATCCCAGGGTTGTGCTGGATATTATTGCAAGTAAGCAATTCCAGGGTTGTGCTGGATATTAGTGCAAGTAAGTAATTCCTGGGTTGTGCTGGATATTAGTGCAAGTAAGCAATTCCAGGGTTGTGCTGGATATTAGTGCAAGTAAGCAATTCCAGGGTAGTGCTGGATATTAAAATCCAATTTCAGAATAGGAAACTTGATAAATTTAAACCTGGACATGTTTAACGTTGAATAGTTCAGTAATTAAAAAAAAATCACGAAGTTTGAATATAAATGTAATAAGAACTTTAATATAGATATACCTGCATAACAGTGTAGTAATACTAACCAAATGGTAATTTCTTAATGGGTGAAATAATTTTTTCCCTGTACCTATTAATTTTTGAAAATTTTATTAAGAGGGGAAAAGGTTTTTTTTAACATGAAAAAACAGGTTTCTTCATGCTCATTAAATTTTACTCTCAACTAGTACTATATCTAAACATGGTGTTGGATTCACACTAAACATCATGAATGTACTAGTACTATATCTAAACATGGTGTTGGATTCACACTAAACATCATGAATGTACTAGTACTATATCTAAACATGGTGTTGGATTCACACTAAACATCATGAACGTACTAGTACTATATCTAAACATTGTGTTGGATTCACACTAAACATCATGAACGTACTAGTACTATATCTAAACATT